TGTTACCATGACATGAGGTTCTAAAAGACTATTGTCAAAATGGATGTCATACATTGTATATGTTTAGTTTTCTAAATTAATGGCTTGCTTTAAAAAAAAAAATTAATTGCTCGTATTTGGCTGTATTTGTAATTCTCTATTGGTTATTATTATTACTGTGTCATATTTAATATTTTTAAAATTCTTTGAATCCTTGCTATTAATTTTAATTTAATTGTGATTGTTGAAAATTGAGAATTGCATCGGTTATCATTAATTAATTGGCATGCCGTTACAAAAATCAATTTTGGTGTATACATGGTTGAGTGGTGCGTTCAGACCTCTATGATTACATTTTGTCATTGGAGAGTCTTCTTTATCTTTATATTTAAAATTAATTGAAGTATGTATTTTTGTATGTAATTGTGAATATACATTGAAAATCAAACTGTGTTGTATAGGCCTTGGTGAGCATTGCAAAGATTTTGAGTGGAATGGTCATATTATCTTTATTATCGCAATTTTAATTGCCTAATGTAAGATTTTTTTTGTGCATGCATACCTAGTATGTAGTTTTGGATGACTATAATTTTGAACCATTTCTTTTATATGAGAACTGTCTATGAGTCTAATTTTTCAAATATTCAAAAATGTGGGGGTGCTTAGCTAAAACCTTATTACTTGGTTTAAAAAGAGAAAATAAATTTCTTGGTAGATAAGAAATACTTTTGTGAAGGGGAAATTTATATTATTTGAAACGTATATTTAGTGAAATTGATTTTGACGTGAATCATCGTGTTTTATGTTGCTAATTTGTGTTGATTAGCTACCTTGAGTCAATAAATGTAACTTTGAGTAATAAAGATATAAGGAAGAATGATAGTATTTTACTATCATTATATTGAGACACTTCTTAAGAAGTTTGACATTTCAGTGTTAATGATGTGAATATCCCTTATGACTTTAATAAAATAAAATTAAAAATAAAACACAAAGATGTGATTTTGAGGCTTAAAACGCACATTTAAAAACGTGAGTTTGTTACAATTAACGAAATGTGTAAGACCCGTCATTATTTAAAATGTCGGAAGATTGAGCCAATATATGAAATCTAATGTGATGATTGGGATACCTTAAGTTATTGAGATATTCGAGAGGTATCATTAATTATGGTTCAGATTATCCGTTGTAATATATTGATACAATGATGATATGTTTAATTGAGAAATATCTGTTGTACTAGAGAGGTACAACGATGTTATGAATGAGAATTATCCATTGTACAATGATGATACAATGATGTTATATCTTATATTGAGAATTATCCGTTAGAATATAACATATTATTGAAATTATCTGATGTACAAAAGTGTCACATCAATGCGATTTCTTATTGAGAGTTATCCGTTGTATTGCCGGGATACAACGATGATAACTGAGTCGACTCACATGAGATAAAATAGTGGATATCCATTCACCCTTAAAATTGGTGCAATGATGTTTGAGAATGGAATTATTCCATTAATTTTGTGAAATTAAAAGGAATTAGCTACTCCTTTTGATAGAATCCCTAGGACGTTATATGATAAATTTAAACATCGAGGGAAATGGACTAATGTCACTTTGACAACAAATAGGGATGGGAACCCAACTTGTGTGATTGGAGATCCCATGAAGCAAGTTCAAATGGGTAATAACAAGTCTTCTATTTGTTCTGCTAGCCTTGTAAAATGTCCATTTCTATGGTGTGGAAGGCTAGGCTGCATTTGTTTGTGAGGTTGAGCTAAAGCTCTTAATGATTGTCATAGCCCTCACGGGTGGTGTGTTAAGTGTGGGACACACTTGATGAGGTCACCTATACGAGTGAGAGGTGGGGCCGCTTCCATGAAGCATTGACAATGCTTCTAGAGCACTCAAGAAAACCAAGCACGCGCACGGCCTAGAGGCGCACAACGGCGTTAACGACGAGAAAGGTGGGGGTGAAAAATGACCCCCTAAGACACTGACTTACCATAGTAGATTATTGGTTCATAGAAACTATACGTTTCACCAATAAACTCGGTATTTAAAGACTTAGGCGTCTAGATCTGGTTCAAGTCTACGCGACACCAGATTGAAAAACCTCACCCCATATATGAAACCCAGTAAGGAATTATTATTTTTAATAAATAGAATATTCATTTGAAATATGTGGGGGATTGTTGGAATTTTTTGGAATATTTCAAATGAATAAGAGTTTTACCATTTAAGTGTTTGTGATTTATTATGTAAATGATTTTAATTCCTTAATTATGTTTTACTTGCACCCGCACTTAATTATGCAAATGTAACCGTTGCAATCTTTTCTAACTATTTATATTGTTTGTGATAATTTCCTAATGGTCCGTTACTAAGATATCACAACTCCCCAACGTTTAATAATCATTATTCATTAATATAGTTAGTCATAATTATCACTATTATTAAATTTCATTAATATTCAACGTTTCACATTATTGTCATCATTATTATTATTTCTTAATGTGTATATAAATACGTACTCACAAGTCACACATGTAGGTTGCTAAAAATTGAACTTTGAGATGATTACATTTATATACGTGTAGAACATACTTGCTCCATATGGGCTCATATAAAAGAATGGTTGGCTTCATGCTATTAGTAGAAACATATACGTGTATATTATAGATATATCACTATATATATAAACTAACCTATAAGTACTAATCATCAAAATATTTTATTGCTGGGTTCATATACTAAATTTCTTCTCGTTAGTTCCGGTACCGGTTTTATAACTGAAGGGCTCGTTATATCTTGGGGGAAATTTTCGTACGCCGGAAATAATTCCTTAGGACAGCGTCTGACACGTCTCGAGCCACTAATATATTCTAGTGCTTTTTAGTGATTATTTTGCACAGGTGAATTAGCGGAGCTAGATGGTCAATGAGGTCAATTGAGGAGCAACACGGTCAACACGTTGAGTTTGGAAGGATAGAGCCAACAAAGAGTACTCATATATATATATATATATATATATATATATATATATATATATATATACACACACACAAATGTTCCTGTCAGGTATACCTGACAGGAACCGCCGTCCGGCCTCCTCCTTTTGGGGGCCTTCCCGGTGGTATTTTTTGCTCAAATTTTTTGTGTATGTTCCTCATCAAATCTAGTTCATCCATACCAAATTTCAGCAAAAAATTCAATCGGGAAGGTCGTCAAATGATTTTTGCAAGTTAACTGGTCCGGAAAATACATTTTCCGGACGGCGGCGTTTGGCCGCCTTCCCAGTGGATTTTTTCGATGAATTTTTTATGACACTTTCTCCATCAAGTCTAGTTTATCCACGCAAAAAAATCAGCTAAAAACTCAATCGGTAAGGTCGTCAAATGATTTTTAGAAGATAACTGCTCCTAAAATATACATATAAAAAGCAGTTATCTTCCAAAAATGATTTTACGACCTTCCCGATTGAGTTTTTAGCTGAATTTGTTTGTGGATAAACTATACTTGATGGAGAACATGTCATAAAAATTTCATCAAAAATTTTCACCAGGAAGACCGCCAAACACCGCCGCCCGGACGGCGGTTCCTGTCCGGAATTCCGGACATAAACATTTGTGTATATATATGAAACTATGGATCGGGCTATGGAAAAAATGGACAACACTAAGGAGACCATTGCAAAATGTTGAGGATAGGGCTACATATATACATACAGTCATACATAGACATTGAATGTGTAAATACATTTGTTAAATAAATATAACACAAAAATTAACTTTCAAGCAGAAGAGTCTAAGACTATCAATGATTTTAGGATTAACGCTTAATGATTAATAAATGAAATTTTATATATTGATTATATCAGTTTACCTAGTTTGGTACAGTTTTGAAGGGTAAAAACCAAAACTGAACCAAAGAACTACGGTTCTATTTTATACATTCGGTCTATTTTATACATTCGGTTTCTTTTTTTACTAAGCTAGTCCGATTTAGAGCCTTTGGTGATCATGTTTATCAGTCAACTTTTCTTCGGAACACATAATTTTTTATTTCGCGCCTTAAATTGTTGAATGATAAGAAAATGTTTGGTTTAAGTTATTTTTCTGACTGTATTTGCTAAAGTTACTGTAAAAAATTATTTCACCCTTTTTTTCATGTAATTTTTCGCAGCTCCCCGTCTAAATTGTGCATAATTAAATATAATTTAAATATATATAAATTCAATGCATTTAGAGTTGGTTTGCAAATGCTTAAAAAACACTTCTCAGCTTTTGGCTTAAAAAACACTTATTTTACCAATACTACCAACTTTTATTTTTCTCGTCTTTCGTGTCAAAAATGTTTTTACTTTTTCTATTACACAAAAAACACTTATTTTACCAAACACTACAAATTTATACTTTTTAAAATCACTTTTATTAAAGGAAAAATTGACAAGAATAATCTCACCTTTCAATGGTCTTCTCATAATAATCCACCTTTAAATAATCCCAAAATAATCCCACCTTTGCACCTCATCTTCTTTCATTGGACCATGACCATGTTTTTTACTCTTTCATTGGACCATGACCATGTTTTTTACAAATAATCTTACCTTTAACTTTTTAGTTATATCCTTATAAATGTGAGATTATTTATATAAGATTTTTAAAAAAGGTAAAAAATTTGGTCGGGTCCAATGAAAGAAGATGAAGTGCAAATGTGAGATTATTTCTCACCATTTCATTAGAAAAACACTAGCTAGCTGAAGCTACCTTAAGGTCTGTTTGAAACAGCTTCTGCTTTTAAAAAGTGTTTTTTTTTAATGAAATGGAGAAAAGTGATTAAATAAAAGTTGATAGTGTTTGAGAAAAAAGGGATTGTGAAAAGTAAAAGTGGATAGTGTTTGGTAAAATAAATGCTTTTTGTGTAATAGAAAAAGTAAAAGCATTTTTGATGCGCAATCCGAGAAAAATAAAAGTTAATAGGGTTAAAATAAGTTGCTTTTTAAAGCCAAATTTTGAGAATTTTGATTCTTTAAAACCTTAAAGACGAAGAGTCAGTCGTCCCCGCAGAGGCAAAAGAGGAAGAGACGGTCGTCGAAGCAGAGGCCCAAGGCGTGGATCGTCTTACATCGACGAAGAGAGGGCCGTCGACCGTCGCTTTCAGCTTTGACGAGACCGGCTTCCAGGCTCCAGCTTCCCTATTCACGGAGATACGATCGGCTTTCATATCACGATTCCAGGTTTGTAACATTATTAGATTTCAACTCCTTTTTTTTTTATCTCAATATATTCTATCAGATTACTTGATTTTGATTTTACGGAGTTATGAACCACTGCAATTCAGGCAGTCTTTAGTCTCATATAAAGCCATAATTAGGCGTAGTAGGGTTTCTTCAATTGATTTCAATTCTACCCATATAATCATGTTATTCGACTAAATCGTCAGACGGTCTTTGAAAACAGAATTATAGTTATAAATTTATAATGGTTACAGGTCCCATGTTTATCTTTTTAAATTATATGTTCTTTCCAAGTTATAAGTTACATGGAACATATATTATCTTTCCAGAACAATAGAATTTTAGTAGTGACTACTGACTAGTGAGAAGTTTAATGTTTATCTTCTTCAATTCTATGTTTATATATGAGATATTCATTTAAATGTTTAGACGATCTTTAAAAATAGCAATATAAATATATACCCAGTAATATTTAGCAGTCTAATGTTTAACTTCTTAAATTATATCTTCATATTACATACATTTTAAATGCTTAGAGAATATAGGTCAACAGGGGCGTAGCCATGAGTAATTGTTGAGTTGAGCCGGTACAAAGATTTTTTACAGATAAATTTTTACACATAAGTTTTACATAAAAAACATAAGTAATTTTAAAATTTGGGCTGGGCTGTGGCCCGGTTGACCACCCATCCACCTCCGCTCCTAGAGGTGAAGTAAGGGGGAGTTGATTTGATCCATATTTTATACATTGAGTTGATTTGAGTTCTCTTACATTTGCTATGCTCTTCATAAAATTTATCATACAACATAATAAGGATAGAATAAATCAAACTAAAACAACAAGGGAGATGGTTTTAAGTAACACATGTCTAATTTTGGTAGTCTTCAGAGATGTCAAGCCGTATACACACTTTTGTGGCTTCTTCCCTTCAGCTAGAATGTCATACTTTCATGGTAATCACATTTTTCTTTCAAATAAATTCTGTAGTGGTGCGGATATCAAATATATAATTTACTAATCCTTATCCATACTTCTAAATGATTCTTTGCCTTAATGATGTGATAGGAACTCCTGAATCTAGCGGTAAATTGATGTTGTTTAAGAAGAAAAATTAGAAACAGAAATGGAAAATATAGGTGAGACCAAGGTAGTCAAAAGCGAGTGCCTGAGCGCTTAAGCGCACCCGGCGCATCGCAAATGAGGTTTAGCAACTGAAGAATGGCCAGGCGCGGCACAAATGAGGTTTAGCGACTGAAGAATGGCCAGGCGCAGCTCCCTGTCTAAAGCAGCGCAGAAGCTGAGAATAGCGCACACGGCACACTTAAGTCGCCCGGGGCTAGGAAAGGCTTATCAGCCTATTCTTTTGTTTGATCTTACTTTAAATAATAAGCCCATACTGATAATCGGATTTAGCCCGGTCCAAATAATAGATAAATACAACTTAAACCCATATCAAACCCTTCTTAGTCGTGGAAGAAAAATCTTCTATCTTGAGTCTTGACTTCATCGTGACTCTCCTATGCTGCTATGTGCTCTACTTGCGCAGCATGCTCAGCCCTGAAACACACTCAACGAACCCCCACAGAAGCCAGAAACCCATAAAGTGTCTTCTTCTTCATCATTTTCCATGTTCTTTGTTCTTTCTTTTTCAGCTTGTAGTTTTCATTTATTATGTCATCTTCTTGGTGATCCTTTCATTTATTTTCAGTACATCATCTTTCTTTACTTTATAGTTCTTTTTGCTTCTAATATATTTTATAAAACTCAAACATATTATATGTACCTGACTTCCAGTTTACATTACATGTAATGTATATTTTTTAATTTTATTTTACAGTTTAACTTTACATCTTCCTATTATCATTTCAAATTTTAACTAGTGTTGTCACTCCCGGATAGCGGAGTGTAGCGGCCAACCCCAAAAACGCTATAGCGGATTAGCGGTATAGCAGATAGCGGGATGACCGCCATTGAGACAATATATATGCAAAGTACATATTTATATGTATGGATACAATTACATGTCATGCACATATTAATTCTAAGAAATGATAAATTACATATATGTGACTCAAACTTTATGAAATTTATACTTACTGAATTACCAAAAAAGAGGCATTAGAGTCCTAAACAAAAGAAACAAAATAAAAGTACCTTACCTCTAAACATTAGAAATTAAGTTCTAGATAATTCTTGATAAAATTGTGTCATTAATATCTCAATATAAGAAAATCATTGTTATTGGGATGCCTTGAACTACCTTAACATGGAGATGTATGATATAGGTTATGTTTGACCTTGGTTTCTGCTTTGAGTTATTTTAGTAGTCTTTACTACTGTTTAGTAGGTTTTTTGTCTCCCACGTGTTTTGGAGGGTGAATTGAGGTTATTTTTTACTTCAAAAACATCTGAAAGTAAAATATACTCCAAAATTCCCTCAAAACTGGCACTTAAGTAGCCTTTTAAATTATGGCGGCGCTATAGCGTCCGCTACAGCCGCTATTCTTCCCGCTGTAGCGCCTGCTATAGCCGCTATTGCCAACCGCTCCACTATATGCAGTCTCATAGCGGCTACCCCCCTCTCCGCTATTCCGCTATAGCGCCGCTATAGTCCGCTATTGACATCACTGATTTTAACTGTATAGAAACTTCATATAATCTAACTCAGTTAATAGTTTCATAGACTATAATATTTATGCTATTCCTAGTCCTAAAATTGCAAAATCAACAAAGACAGACCCCACTTTTTTTTTTTGTGAACAATGACTTTATTTTTTTAGAAACATGACTTTTTGATGCATTTAGTTCAATATGATGTTGAATATGTCATATTTGATCACTCTATGATAGGGCACTGGCAATCGATACTCAGAACAATATAGAAATCAGTAGGAATTGTAGAAGAACAGATAGTAAGCTTTATTCAATAGTAAGAACCGAACGTAAGGGATACAGTGTCAGGACGATTCGAGATGCCCAATCTCCTAGCCAAGCCAAATCCAACAAAATACTTGCCTGCCTATTTTAGTTGACTCCTCTTCTATTTATAGTCCCTATCCACGCAGGGATAAAGGAACTATTAACTAGTTACTTAACTAATAAGTAATAATAGACTTCTAGTTCTTTCTATTATACTCTTTAATGAATAGGCCCGCTAATTACTTATTGAATAGGCCCATTACTTATTTATTCCTATCAATACTCCCCCCCTAAACAACCACCTTGTCCTCAAGGTGGGTGATAGGAGTCAGCCTGGACTATCAACTTTATCTTCATTCGAGCGCCTCTCCCTTCCCAGTACCACATTGCGTTCTGGATCTTTAGCTTCAACACTTGGGCCATGCTCTTGACCTCTAGCACGACGTGAATGAGCAGATGCAATGACACTGTTGGGTCATTCACATCCTCCTGTTTAGATTGCCAATAAAGAGAGCTATGGTTCCAGAGTGTTTGTTGAATAGTTTCACTCTGAATGTTCAGTACACCCCACCAGGCTCTTGCAGCTGTGATTCCCTTCCCACTTCCTTGTTTTAAAGATAGATCCCCAAGGTGTCTTAAATGGAAAATAACAATCACAACCGCCTGAAAAGTAGAATCCAATTCCATATTGAGTTCACCCATATGATATTCAAAATCAAACTCTTCAGCCCAGCTCATTCCAGAATCTGAGGAGCCCCAGATTAGAAGCTTGTCAATCTTGTTTTGTGATAGAATGCTTTCTGGCCAAATTGAAACATCAGGTAAATAGCATAATGACTGCTGCAATGGCACTGTCAGTCGAACACTTTCATTATTAACTGAGGTTGTGGTAGAAGGTACCAATTTGCAACCTTCAACATCAAAAACTAACAACTGGTAACTTGCAAAGCCAGGTTTCAAGATAGACTTCCTTAACCCAGCAAGATTACTATGGTCATATAAATGTTCTGGAAGAGCCATTCCTTTAAAACCATTTGGAGCATCAGGAGTAACTAGATTAATGGTCCCGGAAATGACATTTCCCGATTTAACCAATATCTCAGACAACTTCATCTGTTTTGTTGTAAAACTGAGGTTGATTAGTCTTGCTGTGGGGTTCGGACTAACCTCTCTGCACTTAAACACCTGCTCAACATGATACCCTGAGTTTGTTTTAGAGCTAGGGTCTACCCCAAACTCAGACGGTGGAACCAAACCTTGCGTTCCATTGTAGACCCGAACAAAGCAACCATTGCATGCCTTTTCACTCTTCATCCATCCCTGTGTCATTCGTCCTTCTGTAGCATTACAGTAAACTGATTCGTCAAATGCAATATTCTGTTGATCATCCTTCCACAAATTCCTTTCCAAGGCACTCAAGACTACAACAACACCTGCACTCACAAATTCCTTCCACAAATAAGCAACACTATTCTTTCTCCATTTGCTATTGGCAAGTTTGTGAGCATTGTCACCCCTTTTCCCCTTCATATCTCTTTTATGGAGTACCTGGATCCCTTTACAAGCCAAAGTCATCTGAGATGGGTAGTGAAAACCTACAGTTCCCTCTTGAACCGATAGACAAACTGCATGCAGCCCCCTAACTTCTTCTCCAGAGGTAATGGCATGTGGGAAGAGACTAATATTGAGATCCTTGACAAGGATCAGATTCACATCAGCCTCAACTTCAGTAACATTTCCAACATACTCCTTAAATTTCCTAGTAATCCCTCCCCTCAAGCTATTTTTATTATACATCATCGAAGTAAAGCCATGAATTCTGAAACTATTGAAATTGTTTAGTGTTTTCCCAGTAATATGTGATGAATGGCAGTACATCATATCCATTAAAACCTCCAATCCAAGTCCATGAACTATATAAATGAAGGATTTAAGATCTTCTGTGTTCAAGTCCAGTGCACTAGAATACCTCATATCATGATAGGTAAGGCTATCTGATTTACGCACACCGGAACCTTCCCGGTTTGATGAAAATCCCTTAGGTTGATTAACATCCTCTTCAGGGTCTGATTCTGTAACT